GTCCCAAACAAAGTGGACTAACTGTAAATTATAATTTTTGAGCCATTCTAGAGAAGAAAATGATCACTAATTTTTAAATGTATTTTAACACAGCAATATTTTAAAAAATTTTAAGTTGCACTCATAATTCCCATATTCCCTCTCAGTTATTTTCTATTACCCTTGTTCAACTTTAGTCTTTAAACAAATGAATATATACTTTTATAGTTATGCTGATAAAATATATATATCCATTGTGTTCTATTTCATAAATATCTTTACATATTACCACTTGAGCTTTATAGGTATCATTTTACTATCCCTTTGAGTTCACTGCATTGTTATTTAAGTAGTAAAAAAATAACACCCCTGAGGTAATCAATTTGGTATATGCCCTCCTAGACCTACTCTTTATATGCCTTTCTGCGATATATAGGTCTTTTTTCCTCCCCAGTCTAGTCATTTGTGTTCATTTATTACTGTATTATTTTTTTACACATAGAAGCTTTTTTATGAAGTCGTATCAGTCTTTCACTTTCTACTTTTGCTATCATATTTAGAAGGGTCTTTCTTACCCAAGATTATATGCAACTATATTTTTTTTACTCTTAAATCCTTAATTCATCTGGAGTTTATTCTGCTGTGGCTTATTGGTAAGACTTTAGACATTTTGAAATAATTGGTACTATAATGATTAACTGAATTAGCATTGATCCAAGGTATATGCATACTTTTAACAGTTTTTGAAAACTTACTTAAACTATTAATTTGCTATAAAATTGTCATGGTTGGCAGTTTGAAATATAAAAACATTCACGTATCTTTTTCCCCCTAGGGTATAGAAGTTGACCAGTTAGACTTACGAAGAGATATTGCCTACAACTTGTCTCTCATTTATCAGAGCAGCGGGAATACTGGAATGGCTCAAAAGCTTTTGTATACCTATTGTTCTATCTAAAGCACCTCAGTTGAGAAAGCCCTGGCAGCTGCTGTGTGAGGACCAATATCTTCTGTCTCAGGGCTTATCTCCAGAATAGAAGTGATAATTTCAGAATTATCTAACAGTATATTCATTTTTAGTATGTGATAATGATCTCTGGTATAGATGCAAAATTATCATTCCTACACAAATTGGTATATTGTTCTGTCATTTTCCTTTACCATTTTATAGTAAAATTGTCTCCAGTCTTATTAGCCTTTGAGCCAGCTTGGAGTTGAATACACTATCTTTTACACCATTTATTCATCTATGTATGTAATACTATAGTCCTGTTAGTATTACATCAGGCAGTTTTTCAAATACATCAAAAAGGAGGTTGCTTATTAAAGAAAAAACAGATTGGAACGCTTTATGATATCAAGACCATTACATTACTAAGCAGCTAACAAAATTATTTAAAATAGTTACATGGTAGAAAGATAAATAATTGAATTTAATCTTACTTTTCAACTGCATGTATCTTAGCTACAGACTATGAAACTTGGGAGGCGAATTCAAAACATACTACTACAAGGCAAATTAAAATATGCATTATCTGTATTTGTGGCTTCCTGACTAGAAAAAAAAAAGGATCATGTTTAATAAAATGACATGGTTTCCATTTCAAGATCATTTGGGCAAGTTGTGTATATGGAATAAAGTATTGTGATAAAGTTAAAAAAATAGATAAAAACTTTTCATTCTTCTCAAATAGTATATGTTCTTGAATCTAAGACAATACTTTTTAGATGTACTATTAGTTTAACAACAGCTTTTCAGGGGAAAATAAATGTACGTATGGATTGTAAGACCCAGTCCAATTTTCGGAGAGAAACAAGTAGGCATAAGATCAAAGAAATACAATGGGAGCTTTTTAGGAATTCTTACTACTGTTTATACTGTATATATAACTTTCTAGTTGAGAAATAAAATTTGTATGTAATAAGTAAATATATTGAAAACTCTGTACATAAATAAATTTTATTTTTATAATTAAGCTTTCATATGCTTATTTATTTCTTTACAGGTAATGATAAATCTAACTTATAAGTATCAGGTGGCTTTATGTCTTAGAATTGTGTGCAACTGAGCATTCTGTGTGCAGTTTCTCTCGAATTAGCTGACTGGACTGTGACTCTAGTGTCTACTAAACAGCCTTCAAGGAAAAAATAAATCTCTCTAACGGTCTTCTGAGGAAAAAAAGGGCTGATATTGCATAAGTTTGTTTAGCATTTAAAATCATACCTACCACTTGCTGATATGCTACTATGTGCTAAGTACAGTACTAGATACTTGAGATTGAGCCAACAGTAAGGTAGGTATTGGTGGTATCATATCCACCTTACACAGGGAACGTGTTGAACATCACTAGAGCAGGCTACTCCTCACTCAGAGATATTCCTTTAGAGGAACGTTCTTGCTCTAGTTCAGAGTAACAACATAAAAATTGAGGATAAGTTCATGTTAGAAAGAAAAAGGAAATTGGCAGTTACTTTTTCTGTCCTCAAGGCCTTCAGCCTATTAAAGCATCTGTAATAAATATCTTTTGGGGTGTCTTTTTTTTTTAAAACACTCATATTCACTCCCTTACCTTCTAGCGTCACCTCTGCAGTGCGATCCCAATAGCAATTTTATGCAGTGAGATTGACTTCTGTTCAGTTGATCCAGCAGGGAGTTTGCTCCTGAATGAAGCGGGGCCAATCAAGAATTTCCTCCCTCCTTCATTGGGAATTTTAAAATTGAGATAGAGCTTTCCTGTGGAGAACTTCAAAGCTATGAGGCCAACTACCAGTTATCCCATTCTGTTGAGAAAGAAAAGTGAGGTTTATACATTAAGAGAAACAAAGATGAGAAGTAGAGAGAAAGTACTCTGGATTCCCAGAGATTTTCCAACTTTCAGTTCCATCCTAAAGCCAGCAATATTCTTAGCCTTGGATTCATTCTATAAGGTATCCTTGATTCTATAACTTCCCCTTTTGTTTACACTAGCTTGAGTTTTTCTGTTAGCTGCGCAAAAAAAAAAAAAAAATCCTAACTGATCTACTACCATTCCATCTTCCTTTCTACGTAGCATTCCTGTTTTCTAGCCATTTTCACGAGAACATGAAGCAAATAGGAATGAATATAAAACTTTGTTGCTGAATTATAAGCAGTGTCACAAAGTCTAATCCACAACAGGCTTTTAAAAACTGTTCTGAGCAAGAGTAGGGGGATTGTGCCTACTGTGGTGGTGTAATGTTAACAGTAAGATTTGTTCACTACTATGCTTCTTACAGTAGTTAAAACTCTTAGTTAGTATTGTAATACTATAGTTAATATTGTAAGGAGCATAATACTTGATACGCAAACTGAACACGGTAGAAAGGGAGTTAATGCCCAGGACAGCTGAGAATATGGGAGAACTATGAATTTCATCTTAGGCCCATAGTCCCAAACAAAGTGGACTAACTGTAAATTATAATTTTTGAGCCATTCTAGAGAAGAAAATGATCAAATGAACTGAGTTTTTTCAGTGGGCAAATGGTGGATTCTGGAAACCACTTGAGCATGTTGGTCCTGGCATGATTCTAGCTAATTTGTGTACACTTGGAAGAGGCAATGTACCACTTTCCTCGGAAGCGGTACTAGGCTGGTGGCTCAGGGGACTATCTTGGTTTTAATGTATCTGGATTTCAGCGGAGTATATGAGGAAGCCTATTGTGATATGCGTGTGAATTGGACGGAAAAATGTGACTGGTTCTTCAATTGGTAGAATGACCAAACCCAAAGAATGCATGTTGATAGACTGATGTCAGCTGGAGAGAAACTGCAAATGATGTGCCAACCAGGTTCATTAACATCAACAACCTGGGTGAAGATACAAGACAATGCCAAATTCACATGTAAGAAAACTAGAAATTATAAGAAGTACCAATACTAACGAATCAAGAATGAAAAATCTCAACAAGTTTGAAAAGCAACTAAAAACATGGAAAAAAAATTTGCACTTAAATTTAAAAAGATCAATTGTAAAAATATAGATTACGACTAGCTTGCCAGTTGCTCACTGAAAATTCTTTGGGGGTTTTAGCTACCAGCAAGTAAAATCTGACAGATTGTTGTTTCTATCAAATGAAATGTAGTATTAGACAGCTTTAATGAAAACAGGAAAGTAAGTGCTCTGCTCTGATCAGATCCCAATTGACACAGTCTGTCTGGAAAACAGTAAATAGGAAAGAGTTCTTTTAAAAAGAAAAAAAAGGAAAACTCTGGAAGGAAATCAAGATGCCCAGCCTAGAAAACAGAAGACTTGAAGGGAACCATGATAGATAGTTCTTTTCAAGTAGTCACGGGAAGGCATGTGGCTGGGTAGGCCAGAGTGAGTGGCATCTCCCCTTTGTCTAATCTAGCTCATACAATAGCAGCAGCTTGGACAGGGGGAACCATAAGGCTGCGATGCAGACCAGACGTCTCTGCCAGCCCAACGGGGGTCTGGGGCACAGAGTGCTGGTTGGAGAAATCCCTTGATGGTGAACGCAGTTGGCAAGGCTCTCACATCCCGGCCTTGCTCAGTCATTGACTGTGCGCCTCCCTGAGAAAAGCACGACCTAGGCTCAGAAGCTGAGGTGTAAGTTGAAGTTGCTAACAGCTGAAGACTATCAACTAACCACACTCCTGGTCTACAGAGCCACAACAAATGTTTCAAGAAAACCAACCCCCAAAATCCCAAAAATAATTTAAAAAAATACAGTATAAACTCAAGACCAAAGAATATAAGAGGAGAAGACAGGCAGATGACAATATTTTATTTTTTGAGACAGGGTCTCGCTCTGTCACCCAGAGTAGAATACAGTGGCGTCATCATAGCTCACTGCAACCTCAAACTCCTGGGCTCAAACAATCCTGCCTCAGCCTCCGTAGTAGCTGGGACTACAAGTGTGCACCACCACACCCGGCTAATTTTCTATTTTTTGTAGAGACAAGATCTCACTATGTTGCTCGGGCTGAGACAAATCAATTTTAGAAATTAGGAAGCAAATGGGCAATTGGTAACTAAAGAAGCTAGGGAAAAATGAAAGCTAAGTGCCCATAGGAGGTGGTGGGGAGATGGGCAGAAGCAGCTGATTCAAGAGCTTAAAGCTCACGCGTAAGAAGAGGGGTTAAAACAGGTGGAACAGTGGAAAGTCTGTGTTAAGAAGCAATGAGATCCTCTCCCAGTTACCCTGTTCACCCAGAGCAGGTCACTATGTCACCATCGCCCATGGAACAGTGGTGGTTTATTTTCTGGAGCTGTTGAATCAGGACTTCTGGATTTGGGAATACCAGGCACAGATGAAGGTCACAGTGTTATACTAAAAGCAAAGGATTAAATGAAAATCTACACACTGAACAGTGAAATGGCCAGCTTCCTTTTCCTATTTAACTTCCAGAAAATTGGCATCAAGTTGGTATCTTTTAAGCAGAACATTGAAGGGTTCCCTTCTGAGAAAAACCCTGCTCAAGAAAAAAATACTTATGTATACTGACAGTTGGGGGTTTCCCAGTGAAAAGCCCATCCTGGCCAGGAACAAACCCCTGCTGCTGAGCCCCAGTCAGCCTGGGGGACCTTGCTATCGGTGTGCGTCCTTAGACCTTTGAGGAAAGCTGCTGAAATGGAAGAGATCCGTAACAGCAAATGGGAGTAGGGAAGGAACTCAAAGGGAACAGAATTAATGAAACGAAGAAACATAAGAAACAAAGAAAATGCAATTAATATCCCCAGATGAGAAAATATCCTACAGATGAAATAAGAGAAGGATGCTATAAAAAGGAAGGAATTCAAAGAGTGAGCTTTATGAGATTCAAAATGTAATTGTAAACATTAATTCAATGAAGAGATGAGGAAAATAGAATTTAAAAAAGACAAAATGGAAGATTGAAGAAATGAGAAAATTTCAGCTAAGAAAATTGAAGGTTACAAAACAATTTATAAGTTCTTCATGGCAGTTACCATATCTTATAAATTCATTTATATTTCAAGGTATTTCATT